GTATCGATGAAATCAATTAACAATAATGTATCATGGCCTTGATCTTTAGATAAATTATAAATACTAGGAGGCTTTTCAAAACGTAAACAAAACAAAGCAAACGTTGCCACCGGCGGAAAAAAGAAATGCAGCCAAAATTTGGGAGCCACGTAAGAGAATTATATATAATAGATTAACAAAAAATTGATAAAATATTTCGATTTCTAATTTAGTTTCCTAAGAGGGAAAAAATAGATCTGATGAAAATAGTGTTTGATAAACAATGATGGATCTAGATTGAGAAATGCTTCAGAAATGAGTAGCAAAAACAAGATTTTTTTTTTTTTTTAATAAATCATTTATATTGTGTTATTTTAAAATAAATTTTCTTGTTTTTTTGTCAGAAAATGTTCTTGATATTTAGCCTAAATATTTTAACAGGCACAAAAAAACTAGACTGCTTTCATTATTCTTTAATTTTTTTCTTCATAAATTGTATTATTTTGCATACATTGTATGAAAGTAGCAGTTTGAAATTTTTGACCTGGTTTCATGAAATTTAACACTTAAACTGAAAATGAAGTTTAAGTGCTATTTTCGTAAATTTTTGGCGAAATTATACTTACTATTTTTATCATTATTATTACATAAATATTTTTGGTTTTCATTTCTTATGGGCAGTTTATAATTAAAAACAGCTCAAACGTCGTAAACTTTTAAGAACATTTATAATATTTTTTATTATTTCAATAAAGTTTTAAATGGAATATCAATTGGCACTGCTGATTTTTCATATTTTGAAAAGAAAATGCTCAATTTGAGAAAACTTACAAATCGGGCAAAAGTTAAAATCAAAATACGGAAAATGTCTATGGAAGCTGATTCGGAGAGAAAAAATCGAATAGCGGACAGAAACCGTTTTTTCACAAGGTGGTCCATCTTCACTATATAATAACTCTCGGAGAACAGATTATCCTCGTTATTGACTTGTCAAAACTTAGTATTCCTCAAAATACAATAGAGGGCGATCCAATCGTCTTTTTTGGGAGGAAAAAAAAATTGACATAAACCGTCCTTGCTTTTCAAATGTCTTAACTCATAAAGGTTGTTTAGCATTCTGAAATACGAGACAAAATCGTTATGAGAATTAAACGGTAGATGGAAAAAAAAGCATTTGGGAAATAGGGCATCTGAAAAAAACGCGGAAAGAACACTTAAAGAAAAGCACCAGAAAATCAGTTTTTAGGGTATAAGTGTAAATTTCATTACTATATTAGATTAAGTATAGAACTTCTTTGTAATCTCTTTCCATACTTTTATAAATAATTTCAATTAATGCTTGTGCAATGGAAAATTTAGAAGAAACTTAAGTTTTAACACATTTTAAGTATAATAATTCATATTAATAATTACCTGTGGATTTCATTTCTTTTATTGTATTTATAAAATTGATATTTCAAAATGCTATTATTGTTTCTCAGCTGCTGATTTAATATTAATTTGGCAAGGATAGTTTATAAAATAAAAATCAAATTCGACTTAAATAATAAAAAATGTTTTTTTATGTAAAAATATTTAAAATACACTTGTAATTCAAACAGTGTTTTTATTTTTTATTTATTTTTTCGAGTTGACTTGTGAGTTATTAATTCTTATCAGACCTTAATGTTAATTTTAGACCTTAATGTTAATTAAAATAAAAATAAAAATTAAGATTTTTTACTTCAGACTGTATTTTTAGGTTAAAATCAGTTTTATTACGGTTCACCCTTACTTCATATCCAAAATCTAAAAATACACGTATTATATCTATCGTAAGGTCATGCCATGACTATTAATCGGTCATTAAACAATCCTAATTTTTTTTAAATTCTGTATTAGAAAATATCATCAGTTTGATTACTGTTTTTTGTGACATTACATCGATTTTTTTCTGGTGCTTTTTTTCCCGTGTTTTTTTCAGTTGCTTTTTTCCAAGTGCTTTTTGTAGACTTTTTTTTTTTCGTGATTCGAATTATGCTATGTATTTCTCCGGGAACTTCATAAGCAGGTTTCACTGCATTTATTTCTTCACAATTCGATAAAGTTAATATTTTCTCAATTTGAATTATATCAGAATTTATCGAGCTTTTCTTGATGGTTTTGAGTCCTTGAGAGTCAATAATATGCATTTATATACATATTTTTTCAATGCAATAAAAAGAAAAAAATAAACTTAATCACATACTTTTGTCTGTATATAATATATGAGGGAAATAATTCATATTCGTATATAAGAACTGATTGATGGCTTATCTTAATAATTAGATCTTGTTTTATGTCTTCGTGGGGAAAATCCGGTTTTTGTAATCAGCTCTTGTGTAAAGATTGTTAATAAATTTTTCTTTTATTAGTATTACATAATTATTACGGTTGATACTGTTATTAAATTAGATTTCCTCACATGGTACGAAAAGATAATAGACAGTTTTCAATCTTTAAACGAGTACACGTATTTTGATATGCGGCCTGAAAATGTAATAAGTATTTTTTTCTCATCAATTTCTCAACCAATTCGGAAAAAAGGACTATGATTAACGAAATTATTATTTTTCCAAAAGAATTTTAATTTTGGATTTAAATTAAAGAAAAACTTCGATGCAAATTGACGTTATTGAAATGATTACTAGTTTTCTTATAAAATTTATTCAATTCATTTTTCTATTTTAACTTATTTTTAAATATTCCATCTATAGTTTAAAATATCAATGTACTGTAGGTTCAATCTGCATTGATCTCTGTTTAACAGGTTTGCGCGCACTAAGCCGTCAAAAGAGTATGAGTGTGTGAAAATGAAGTATTCATTTCATTAAAAATATTTCAATTCAAGCAAAAACAGCTACATTAAACTAAACTTGCCATTTTCAGCAAGTCAACTTAAGCCATTTTTCTTTTTCTTTTTTTTTGGGGGGGGGGCAAGTTGTCATATTTGGATCGATGATTTTAGGTTCGTCAAGGTTGGGTCTCTAGATTCGTTTCAGCATCAGCAAAATTGAATGCATGTTATACTTTATGAATTTTGAAATTCACGCCGATAAAAAGCTCCATTACAAGACGGTGCAAATTGTGTTCTTTTCTTATAATATTTCAATGAAGACGAATTATAGATATCAGTGATACATTAATCAGGGTTGGCTTTTTGCCGGCAGAAACTGGTTTTTGCCATGCCAGTGGCAGAAACTGGTTATAACCGGTAAAAACTGACAGAAACTAAAAAAACGTGTATATTAGTTCTAGTAATTGCTTAATGACATTTTGTTTAAGTAAACTGAAAAATGTACTGATTATCATTTACTAGCTTATATGCTGTATCCAAAGTATTTGGGATTGAACTTATCATGTGCTCAAGAAGAAAGTGCCAAAATTTTACTCGCCAATATTAACCCAGATTTTGTACCTTATGTCATAGCTTTGCAAAACAAATCGGCCCCATTTCTTGAAACTTATTTTTCCAGTCAAGTTTTGACAACTACCCCAGTTGCTACATAGTGGTCCAGTTTTAAAAATTATGCAATCGATGAAAGTTTCACAAATCTTGCTTGTTCCTTGATGGCAATGCCTGCTAGTTCTGCTGGACTTGAGAGAATCTTCTCAAATTTCTCGTTCGTGCATAGCAAATTGAGAAATTGTTTAGGTTTAGAAACCGCATCAAAACTTGTCTTTTGCCATAGATCACTGCAGAGTCCAAACAATGTAATATTTGATTTTGAATGGTGATAATTATGTAAATAAATTGCACTTTGTTTAACATTTAATTGTTTTCTCTATGAATTCTCCATTGTATGTCAATCTCAGTACTTACTTTTATGTCATTTTCTGAGTTTCTGCAAGTTTCTGCCACAAATGTGGCAGAAAAGGGTTTCTACCATGCCAGCTTTAACCGGTTTCTACCAGTGGTTTTAACCACCTCGGCAGAAACTTGCCAACCTTGACGTTAATAGTGTTTCAGTTGTTACTGATAATATAAGTTTAATCAGCATTATTTAGCTATCAGTGATTAATTGTTTATTTAATTCTTGAATGATTGTTAGATTGTAGTTGTCAATGATTTTTTGTGTTTTCTCGATATTTTTCGTACTTAACAAACTTTAGGTGATATAGTATTATTTCACAGCGCAATACCTTTCAAAGAAGACATTAGATTATGAGAAAAAGCGCTTGAGAATTTTTAGAACTTTTAAAAAATTTTCCTCAAAACTTTAGAGCAATAAAATGATGCGATTTGTGGTTTGGAATAAGTAATTTACAAGCACACGTTTGTCAGTTTTTAGATTTAAGTCTAATTTTAATGCAGTTTAAAATGATGAAAACCTATTTGGGTGACGCTGAAATATTTTTTTAACGTCAATTGCATACTAACAAAGATGCTTATCAAAAATCTAAAAACAGGTAACTTTATACTATTTAACTACCTATCAAAAATAATTGATTGCAGAATTGTATTGTCAAAATTTTTTTCATAAAAAGTTAATAGAGAATCTAAAATACCGCACGTTTTTGTTTAATTTTTTATCTCAAATTGTGATCAAATACGTGTATTTGGCAAAATAGGCACTTTTATGACCGTTTTCTTGAAAATTAGCCGATCGTTAAGGGGTTAACATGCATCAAAAAATACTGCCAAATAGAGTAAATATCCGTCATCAGTTTATTTGAGAAAATTAAATAAAGAAGATTAAAAGCATAGATAGAATTTTCCCTGGCCGTCTTCACCCCAAATATTGCCAAAAAACACATTTTAAATTTTGGTATCGCTTGATGTTCAATAGGGAGTATGGTGTTACGAATTGAGAAAACTGTATAATATTTTCTCCTTTTTAAAGAAAATCAATAGCATTCCTTTAATTTAAATAAGAATTTGCAACGCTAGAGCTATTCTTTGAGAATACATTCATTCTTAGATTCCCATGTTACATTTAAAATAAGTATTTAATTTCGGTATTAAATTTGTAACGTTCTTTTTTTATTTCCCTGATGTTTAGCACCCGTATCCATCTGAAGATCAAAAAAAGCAGCTTGCTCAAGACACAGGTCTTACGATTCTACAGGTAAACAATTGGTAAGTTACATGTTTAATTAAAACATTTAAGCATGCTTAAGTAACATTGGTCTCACTCTCCTTTATTTTAAAGTACGATTGCTGATGTTTTACATCAAATTTTAGGTACTGACTTTCAACATCTTAACTGTATGTTAATTTATTTAAAATCAGAAGGATTAGTTGACCATTTAACTAACACTACTACTACTTGTAATATTTCTCAATCACCGCCTCTCGATCCATCGTAACGAATTAATTAAAGACTATAAATTCTTGTTCAAAATTTCTTTGTAGAAATGATGATTTTCCAGCTAAGGGATTCATGCCCAATCTTTAGCTAACATACACCACATCAGTGGCTCAGAAAATATAATGGCCAGGCCATGCATAAAATAAGTGCGCGTGGGAATTATTGAGCATGCCCTTTCTCGCTTATTCAGAATATTTCTACAGAAAATGATTGAAATTATTTGGATACAGCTGGTGCTGGAGCAAATTACCCTGAATGAAAAGAATTCTTGGATTCTAGTACCACCTTAAAACTTTAGGTGTCAAGTCAAAAAGCCTATCTTTATTGTGACATTTTAACAAATCTTATCTGTTCCTGCATATCAAATGATCATAGACTTTCAGTGTTTCATTCTTTGCGTGGATTTAAAGCAACAATCAAATTAGCACGCCAACAATTAGAATGTCTAATATGAAGAAGAAAAAAATGACGTAGCCAAATTTACTAGAAGTCGCATTCCATGTCAAAAGACTAAAATAACTAGACATGTAGTACACTCACAAGTAAGTCCTAATGAACGCTTTTTTAATCGTATAAATCTTGATTTGATAGGACCTACGCAGTCACCAAAGTGATTTTGCACATTGCTTAACTTGTATAGCTCATTTTTCACAATGACTAGAAGCTACAGTTGACACAGAAATAATTGCCCAAGCTTTATAGAGTGAGTGGTAAAATATCCAGGATCGGAGAAACTGAAGCAGTCACTACCGATCTTGGTAGACAATTTATTCAATTATTCAGGAAAAAATTTTGGACTCCATATATCACGCACAACTGCCAATCACCCACAAGGTAATGGAGCGATAGAACGATGGCATTATACTTCATTAACAGCAATTATATGCCATACTTCCAAAGATTGGACACTATTCTTGCCATCAGCTTTGTTGGATTTACGAACTGTATATGAGGACAAACTGCTGATTTGTGCTAATAGTTTTGTTGGATTTACGTACTGTATATAAGGACAAACTGCTGAATAGGTTTATGGTTAAAATTTATGGGTCAATTTTTCACTGATCCGAAATCAGATGTTTCTGGAAACGGCTGTGTAATTAGACTGACGCAACACATACAGCTACTGAAATCAACATCAAACCATTTTGATGAAATCGTGATATCAGTGAAAAGTCACTGCTATCAGTGAGACGTTAATAATGTTTAAATTCTCCCAAACACCTGATTTGAATAAGTTGGTAATTTCTTAAAAATACTAACGAAGTGCCTTTTTTTTTTCTTCATAAAATGCTTCTCTTAAAGTGTATTTTTTCTTTCAATGATATTTTTGTACGCTGTTCTTTCCGATGTTTCTTTTCCGGTGCTTTTTTTCCTGTACTTTTTTTGTGTTCAACTCATATTTAAAGCTTTTTTAGCATTGATTCATCTGAGATTTTGTATTATAAAAACGCTTGTATGAATTCAGAAATATCGCATTAAATTATACCAATAGATGTGTCTTGAGGAAGACTGTTGGATTTTTCCCATTTATAGTTTTCTTTTTTGTTTTTGTGTTTTTAT